TACTTTAGTTTTGATGCAAAAACGCATGATCGCACCGGCTGGCCTGGTGCGTTCCAGCCTTTGTTTCAATGGGCGAGCATTCACCGGTAAAATGGTCGAGCTTCATGTAAAAAACTGACAACCATGCACGTTTAAAGTCCATAGGGTACCACACTGTAATACCTTCATCTCAGCCATCGCCCTCTCCCACTTCACGCAGAGAGAGGCCAAAACACAGCCAGTGTGAGTGTTAAAGTGCGGCGCAGGAGCCATTCCTACTGTTAGCGACCGCATGATCGCACCGGCAAGCCTGGTGCATTGCAGCCTGAGTTTTACGGTTGAAAAGAGTGACAGTATTTGAATTAAAGTAGCGGTGTTCAGTACATCAACTGCGTCTTAAAAACAACTAAAGTCTTCCCAAGCGCTTCTGTCAAGGGAACCATGCTCATAATCCCTCCAGGAAGCGAAACGAATGAGAGTCGCCAATAGGCTAACCAACAAGCGATGCAGCATCTGTCAGTGAAGTTGGGAAAATTGCCGTCTGGATGTCAGAAGAACCACAATATGTACTGCATATGACCACTGTATTTCTTTATGAGCACGTAACTGATCACTTCTTAACCTAAGCAACAATTTATATTTTTTTCAATCACCTTCCCTTACCCGGAAGGTCGAAAGGTTGTTTTTTTTTCAGTTTTTCATATCTTTAACGTTTTTTCTTTTTTAGGTAGTACATCGTGATCTGAAACCGTCGAATATTATGTATGCTTCCCGTACAGCTGATCCAGATTCCATTCGGATCATTGATTTTGGATTTGCGAAACAATTACGAGCTGAAAATGGCCTCTTAATGACACCTTGTTACACGGCACAGTTTGTTGCACCAGAAGTTCTGAAGAAACAAGGCTATGATATGAGCTGTGATGTATGGTCGCTTGGAGTGCTTCTTTACACTATGCTTAGCGGGTATGTCGTACAAACTCAGTTTTCCCAGAAAGTATCAAAGTTGAAAGTCAAAGTTTCCTCCGTATTCATTTTTTAAGA